CACAGTTTTTGACCATTACCCTGAGGAAACAGTACACTTTATGCTGTTTCCCAGCGTTCCCACACACATTTCATGTGATTCAGTTTCATAGTTTCTATTCTATTTCATTTTTTTTTTTTTTTGAGACAGAGTCTCACTCTTTTCCCCAGGCTAGAGTGAGTGCCGTGGCATCAGCCTAGCTCACAGCAACCTCAAACTCCTGGGCTCAAGCGATCCTCCTGTCTCAGCCTCCCGAGTAGCTAGAACTACAGACATGCGTCACCATGCCCGGCTAATTTTTTCTATATATTTTTAGTTGTCCAATTAATTTCTTTCTATTTTTTAGTAGAGACAGGGTCTCGCTCTTGCTCAGGCTGGTTTTGAACTCCTGAGCTCAAACAATCCGCCCGCCTCGGCCTCCCAGAGAGCTAGGATTACAGGCGTGAGCCACCGCGCCCGGCCTCTATTTCATTTTTTAAGCTCCTAATGAGGTATATGAAATACACTGGCCTAAAACATTCATTTGGGGCCTGAGTCATTGTCTTTCATTTGCATAAGTCTTGCCCTTCTAATGGGACTATAGATTCCTTAAGGGGATGGCTTTTTGTCTGTGTCCCACAAGTTCTGTCTGGAATCACCACTCACTAGGCCTGGTGCGGTGCCTCGGCTCAGGAGAATAGGATAAGTTTGCTTTAAGAGGCATTTAGATAGTTAGAGCGTGCTTCATGGCATCATTAATCCTTCCTCCATGCTGTGTGTCAACCACGTGCTCAAACAGCTGCCCTGCATCTGGACCTGGACGTTTCCGAATCGTCAGCCTGACCTACTGGATTCACCCGCAGATGATCTGCGCCCCGCCCTGGGGCCTCGTCAGCATGTGTGGTCTCTGCAGTACATCCTGGTCCAGGAGGCTCCTTTGCCCACCTCCAGTTGGAGACAACTCTGACCGGGCCCCTCTCAGCCCTAAAAACAGTAGCTATGACCCCCTCCAGACACAAAGGACATAATAATGCTGATAAGACAGAAATGCCTACATTTTTATACTTTTCCAGGATCTTTTACCTGCTCTTTGATTTTCATAAGAGCATGATGAGGTAGGCAGGGCAAGTATTTCCTTCCCAAAGAATCAAATTAGCAAACTAAAGCACAGAGCGTGAACGTTTGCTTCGTAAATGAAGAGCAATAGCGACAGTGGAATTCTTGCCTAACCGTGTGGGAGGGCTTCGCCTGATCTCTTTCGGTTTAATTTGTTCCTCTGTAAAACCAGCCCTCTGGCCTGAAAGACATCTAAGGTTCTTTTATCCCTTTAAAAGAATTATTCTGTAAGTTTCCACACTGTGCTTACTCTCTGTCTCCTCGGGTGCATTTCGGTGTTCTAGGGATGGGTGGGGCTTTAGTGCACACTATTCCTGAATTTCTGCAAAGAACCTTTTTCAGGGTGAATATGGACAAGGAAGAGAAACCCCATTTCAGCATTTGGCTTCAGCCTCTCCCAACTCTGACTTGGGGTTTCGTTTCCGCATTTCCCACTAGCTGGTTCCCATCGTGGGTTGAGAAGAAGGAGGAAGAGAAAGAGGTCAGACAGTGGGAGAACGAGCAGGAACGAGCATTAGGAGCCATCTGGTGACCAACAGCCTCAGTTTGACTGGGACTAAGGGTTTTCCCAGGATGTGGGATTTTTAGTGCTAAATCCAGTCAAATTCTGGGCAAGTTGAAATGATTGGTCCCCCTGGGAGCCATCGGAAAGATGCAGCCCCAAAATGTCTCAGAGAGGTGGCTGTGGCATCCCCCGGGCTTAATAAAGCTGATTCCCGGAACGGCCTGCGGGTGTCTGCCCTGAGGTGGCCGCGGTGCTCAGCACCCCAGAGCCCCCCTCAGGTAACTAGAGCACGCCAGCCACCGCTGCGCCTGCTCAGTGCCCGGCACCAGAGAGTTGCCACGTGTGAACGTGGAGAACAGAGAGGACCAGGGATGGATAAGGACTACTTTCGGCCGTTGTTGGTCGTGTTTTGTACTATTTGAGGCAGTTTGGTAGAGAAGGAGATGGGAAATGAGGAGGCAGCAGTTGGAGGGGAATTATTAGTTGCTCTCTCTGTCCAGGGAAAGGGGATTGACTGTGGTGTCACACAGAAAGAAGAACAGAGAACATGGCCATTTCCTAGGTGCCCTAGGTTTCCTGGGAACCTCACGGTTTGTTGCAAATCTGAGCAGAGGAAGAGAGAGAGTGTGGAAAAGAGAGAATCTTGGAACTACTTTCGTGTCTGGATGTGCGCAAGTTCCTACGATTCTACTTTCTGAAACTGGCTGCCTGAGATTGCTCTTCTAGCACGAAGTATAACTACAAAAGGCAAGATGAGGGAACAGAGCATTTAAGTTGTACACTGTATTCATTCATTCACTAAGTATTCTTGAGTACTTTCTAGGGCTGGGTTGTGGCAAGACCCTGACCTAGAGATAGCCCTGACCTCTAAGAAACCCCCAGTCCCATCCAGAAGCTGATAGGGACAGTTAATGCATTTCGTCCTTGACTCTCTGGGGGTGTCTCTGAGCCACAAGAGGAGCCCAGGAACTGCTGGCAAGGAACAGATAAGACTCTTAGGGAACAGGAGGACTCAAAGAAGAAAATCAGTCCTCAGCTGGGGGGCCAAGGGCACGTAAATATAATGTCTGTGAACAGGCCAAACCAACGGCAAAGAAGGGAGGGAATTTCAGGATGCGGCTAGAATGAAGTGAATTTAGGTTGGCTGCGTCGATAAGAACAGTTAGCCATGGTGTCCCCTCACTGTTTATAAGATTTTGATGTGAACTCTGCCAGGCAAGTTTTTGAGAGACTCTGGCGGTTGCTGGGAGAGTGCCTCGTCCCCCTCAAATGAGAGTTAAATCCTGATCAGGCCACAGCATTTTCATTTCCTCTCCTGCCCTGCCCTGCCCTGCTTTGCCCAATTCACACAGACTACGAGTGTCTACTGGATTGAAAGTCCTTGAAAATTTTAAAAGTGTAAGGGCAAATAAAAATAAGAAATAAGGAAAAGCCATTAATTCTCCATAGTGAGAAAAAAAGCAGAAAAGAATTACCCCTCCCTTCTTAGAGCATTTTCTTTAGGAAGTTGTAAGTTCTTTCTCTGCCCTTTGAGATGCAAATCTTTGTAAAAGCTGTTTGCCAGTCGGACCACCCACGACTGTCTTTCTCCAGCACCTGGAGCCATCTCTTTGAAATGTAAACATCCAGGAAGACAGCCCCCGCCTCCCAGTCTCCCTGGGAAAGTGGGAGCCTAACTTAGGAGCCTAACTTTCCCCAGGCGCCTCTCTCCACGTGGCAAACCTTCCTCTTGTCATAAAGATATGAGTTTACGTTTCCTCTGGAAAAAGCCAATTAGCTAACACAGATGGTTACCAGGTGAATTTAGGATAAATTATGTGTGACAAATTTGGTGCTGTCGAACTAAAGGGGCTCTGATAATATTTACCACTATCCAGACCATGGAACGTGGCTGCCAAAATTGAAGAGAGAAATCCATTCCTAGGCATTCCCAATGCTGTCTACAAAGCCACGTTTTACCTACATGTTCCTGTCATCTGTGTGGTCAGAGGCAACTCACTGTATTTTGTCTACATACGTAGCATGTATGTGCGCACACCCATGTACGTATCTTGTCTATATCTTTCCCTGAAACTCTCAGTACAGGCCGGGAAAGGGACACTGGAATACTGGCCTGTTTTTCTAGGGAAATGGCATCCTAAAAGCACCAAGTAATGAAGCTATGCATAACCCTTGATAAAATTCTTTTGAATATTTAAAAAAAATGATGCTGCCAAGTCCGCTTACCTGAGGACTAGTTATGGTTTGTGTTGACACGTATGCAATGGGGTGTCTGCCTGGCTGTATGACAAGGTGAGACCTCTGTCCCTCTTTGCAACCTCAGAGCTAAGATCGCATTCTGACTTAATGCATATTCAATAATAAAACTGTTTTCTTTCTCTTCTACTTTTGTGGAGAGGTTTTCTGGACTGGAAGGAGAATGTTTTAAATTATTTCACCCCTAAGATCTTAGACAGGCCAGGCTCAGTAGCTCACGCCTGTATTCCTAACACTTTGGGAGGCCGAAGCAGGAGGATCGCTTGACTTCAGAAGTTCAAGACCAGCCTGAGCAAGAGCGAGACCCCATCTCTACTAAAAATAGAAAAATTAGGTGCTCGCTTGGAGTCCCAGCTACCTGGAAGGCTGAGGCAGGAGGATCACTTGAGCCCAGGAGTCTAAGGTTGCTGTGAGCTAGGCTGATACCATGGCAGTCTAGCCCAGGTGACAGAGTGAGACTCTGTCTCAAAAAAAAAAAAAAAAGAAGTAGACATTTGTTATGATGTAACTCTAAGCCCACCCTCAACAGAGAGGAAGGTATGAATGCCTGGGACAGGCCTGGCCTCTGCCTAAGCCCACATGTGTTCTCAATCTCATGGCTGCTTTACGGTCACTGCCCCAGCCTTAAATGTGCCATCAGCTAAAAATAGAGGTACTATTGCCACACTCCCAACACTCGACTGGACGAACTGACACATAAACTCCACAGCGTCCCCACAAAGCGGCTCTGTCACATGGCAGGGAAGGGACAGCGCCCAGCAGCCCAAAGTCACATCCCAAGAGGGCCTTGTCCAGGCCCTCTGTGGACCAGCAGTGCCTTTCTGACCCTGGTTAGCAGGAACATTCTAGAAGGCAGAGCCTGTGAGATGGGGCCAAGGGGTGTCAGGACGAGCCGGTGATCCAGCGATGGGTGCAGGGGGCTGGCAGCGTGTGCCTAGAACTTTCCACTGACAGGGGGGCTTTTCCAAGCCTGGGGCTGGGGGATCTGTCATTCCCTCCACATCCTCTCCCTCGGAATACCACTTGCTTTAAACAGTCATAAAAAGGAAATGGGAGGCGGCATGACGCCCCCAGTAGGCTGCTGACAGGAAGTGACTGTTAAGGCGGCGCAGCCAGTGCACGCGGCTGGTTTTCAGGGTCCTGTTTTCATCAGTTTCCAGCTGACCCCAAGAGGTGTCCGCGGGAAGCAGGGCACTCTCCGTAATCCCTGTGTTCCTTCTTCTCTTGCGGCCAAGCCATGCCACGTTCGGCCCCAGCCGCTGGCTGCTCCTTAACTGCATCTGCTCAGTGTCACCGGGACCTGTGAGCCGCCGCCCCCCCAGACCAGAGCGCTCTCTGCTGCCACTCACCTTCCCGAGAGGACCAGCCTGCCAGAGCCTCGCTGACCTGGAGGACAGGGCCCGACAGCCGCTCCTGGTAAGGAGAACGGGGTTTATGCTCACAGAGACTTTGGGAGTTGGAAGAACCACAGTTTGGCCACAGCTGCTGATTTCTGGTGTGACCTCACACAAGTTGCTGCACTCCTGGGTTCCCTGGTCCAAGCGCCCTGGGCAGCAGATGTGCGGCTGGTGGGACAGGGCCTACAGAGCCACCGCCCGGCGTTCGCTGCCATCCCATGTCACGGGGCAGCGGGCTTCTCCCTCCCATTGCCTGTTTCTTGGCCCAGCCAACTTTCGAGAAACTCTCAGGGAGTAAAACTGAACTAATCCTTTCATTCGCTGGGCAGATGAGAAAACTGAAGCTCCCAGGGAGCAAAAGACTTTCCCACCCCACCCCTCCAGCAAGGTGGGGGCGTACTTCTCAATTTTACCCTCCTAACTTCTCGTGTCCCACCCCAGCCAGACGCACATGTCCCAGAGAGGCCTGGCAGTGGAGGACGGAGTCTTAGGCCTCCATGGGGCAAACGCGGGAGCCTGGTGTTCCAAACGAGACTCCTCAGTGGGTCTTGTCTTATGACCTTCACCTTCTGAAAACCCCCCTGCTCTCCCCTGAATACTGCACACTGTTCCTATGACACGCTGTAGGGTGCTGCTCTAGGCCATCGGACTTGTGTCCAGGGCACATGTGAACAAGCCCTTTATCAGCTAAACATGTTGTAGAATCACAGTGACCAAACTGCAAAACACGTGATTTCAATACCCGGAAATACAGGGACTAGGGCAGACAGGTGGAGGGGACACTGATAACCGAGGAAGACAAGAAATATTCTTATCTTTTTGTTTATCTTTTCAAAAATAGCATGAGAGAGCCTGCTTTTTCATGATTTGATTAAATACGGTCTCATCATGGTAAAATCAAGTTCGTACAACCTTCAAATCAGAAGGTGCAGTAAGTTCACTCGCTTCAACCTCCTCCCTAAGCTAGACCCGCCCGCCATCCCTGTTGGAGGCTGTTGATCCCGCTGGCACACTGCCTGCCAACTGCTCACAAAGCTGGGTCCCATTTGGGGGAAGGTTCGTCATTTTTCCTCTGGAGAAGAATTCTGCCTCCTCTCTCAATCCCCCGCTCCTGTCTGCTCTGCAGATCAACACGTATCACATCCTTACGGCCCGCGATGTGTCCTCAGCCTTTTTCTAGGCTTCATTCAGCCCTTTTAGTATCTTGCCTATGACTCATGTTAGCATCTCCATCGGTACCCTTTCTGACCCACCTGTGGACACTTTCTTATTAGTTAATATCTGCCAAAAATATCTATTCCTCAGTGCAGTCTGAACTATTGGGAACTACTGTTGCTGTGCCATGGCTAATGCACTGAGTTCGATTGGCTTTTGTGACACCTACATTGCTCCATTTGGGTCACGTGGAGAATCAAGTCAAGTAAAAACACCAGACTGTTTTAACACACTGACTGCCATGTGAGTTGTATTTAACTCAGGCTAGTTTTAAGCCCAGGGCTGCGTGAAGCAAAACCTTGCCATTGGTTCGTGAAAATCTTACTTGTTGATTTCTTATTATTGCAATTAATATTGACAATTTCATCCTAAAAACGTGGGTTGTGTTGCATATAACTCAGGCACAGAAGACAGTAAAAAACAACAAATTAGAAAGGATCGTTTTGTTTTAATAAAACGTCATGGCCCCAGGGAAAAAATTTTTTCCGGTGTGGCAGTCAATGTGTTAAACTGAAATACCTCAATTAAGAGCAACTCCTTCCCCCTGAAATTTTATTTTTGAATGATATTTTTTAAAAAAAAAATGCACTCAAGATTTTGCAATACAATTCTCTGTGCTGGTTTTAGGGCAGGCTTCCAGCCCGTCAACATTGATTTGAGTCGTGACCATGGGGTGGCAGCATTGTATGTGGTGTTCCAAGAGGCTTGTTGACTTATCTGGAATAGTCTCCCCGCCCCCCTACCCTGGACACCCTGGAATCAAGGAAAATACACAGGCAAAAGGAGCTATTTCCTGATAATGGCCCCGTGACAAACAAATGACCCTGGGTAGATCATTTAATGCTGTTTCCTAATATTTTAATAGAAATTTTAATGTTAATCTTGATCACATCACAGGGAATTTAGGAGAACAATTAAAATAATGAACATGAAAGAACTTTGAAGAGTATAAATGGCTGCACAGAGGATTGTCAGGATGGTGAAGTTCATCACCAACGCCATCGCCTAGTCAGTGTTTTGATTCCAAACCTCAGAAAATGTCGTCTAGAACGGAAAAGATGTCAGAGAACGGGGGCAGTTTTAGCAAAAGCCAGGGTATAATTTACCAGAGACAAGAACGGTGTATGGGAGACGGTCGTGGTATGAATGCCCTTCTCTGGGTTGAAGGAAAAGAAAGAAAGGAGGGAAGGGGAGGGGGAGGGGAAGGAAGGAAGCTGCCACAATATGTCCTGATAGTGTGAAAATGGATGGTTTTCCCTAAAGAGGGCCAGGAAAATCCACTGAATGAATAGAAAAATGTGCAAAAGATAGAAATAACAGAACCAACCTAAATAGCAAATAAATGATGAAAACTGTTTTAATTCAATGGTAACCAGTAAAACACAAGTTTAAACCAATTAAGATATCCTTATTTATGCACATGAGGGTGACAATATATTAAAAGTGCAATATCATCAAGTGCCTGTGGAGATTTTTGGAAATCCTTACATATGGCTGGTACCAACGTGAGTAAACAGCCCCCGTGGAGTCATCTTTGGCAATAGCTGGGTCAGGTGGGAATTGTATGTCCCAGATAAATTGTTGCACAATGTTGGATATTATTGCACTGAGAGGAAATGAATTTATCTTGAGTTTGTCCTGCACTTGATTCTTTCTTCAATCACTGCACCTTCTCTCCAGCGACTGCTCCGTCCTTGTCCTCCTGCACTACTGCCTCTCACGTCAGTACCTGGACTCTCCAGTCCCCAGTTGCACCGTCCCATTGGAACGTACATTGTACCTTCCTCTTTGACAATGGAATGTCCACCTGACACACAGAGTTTCTGGAACTGGAAATTCCCAGTGCTTCAAATAAAACAATGTTATTTACAGCAAGGCAATTTTTTTCTCTGTTCTGGCAAGTTCAAAGAGATACTTTGATTCCAATTTTTAAAAAGTGTCCGACTCTTTGTTCCACGGAAGAATGCTTTTTTCATTTCATGCATTTCAAGTTGCGGGGGGATAATCAACTGATTTATTTGAAAACATTTTCTGCGTTTCTGTAAGCCGAGAAAAAAAGAAAGGCAACAGGGCATTCTGTTAGCATAACCTGGAGTTGCCTGGTTTGTTTAAAGTTACTTACAGATGTTTGAAAATAAAATATGAGTCAGAAAATTAGCCATGGAAGTGGATCATCTAAGGATAATTATTCTTAGGTAGCTAAATTGAGATGCTCTCAGGCCCCACCAGCTCCTACATGGACACCTGCTATTTATCTTTTTCCCATTTTTCTTCCAGAAGAGAATGGAAGGGCCCCAGAAGAGCAGATATGGAACTATAGCTGAAGGTAAGAAAGCCATGAAGTTTTCGAGAGCTCCAGATGCTTGGGGAGAGTCAACAGTTCTCTCCCTACCTATCCCCCACCTCGAACGCAGTGGCAGAAGGCCAGTCATTTCCAACTGAAGAAGAAAAAGGTATCACTGGGTTTTACCTTCCCAGCCCTCTCGTGCCTCACCACACCATGGTCCTCACTCACACACACACACACACACACACACACACACACACACACACACCCCGTAGTACGATGCCCTCCCCTGCACAGGGTATAAGGGAAATGTGGAAATGAAACTTCGAGTCCAAGGTTGGAGGGTCTACAGCCAAACTGTGAATATGGTTTCTCTGTCCTTGTTTGCTCTCAGCTGAAAAGAAGAAAAGTTCCCCCATAGAGATGTACTCATTGTGTTTGCTACAAAACACCACAGAATACTTAGGGAAAGCAGGAACCAACACAGAGGAGGAGGAATAAAATAATCGGTTCTTAGGATCCTAAAATGCACTTAGAATTTATTCCGGCTCATAGGAGCTCCAGAATCTTCATGTCTTGAAGATTCCAGCTCTTGGCTCAGTGTGGCCCCCCCATCACCACTTTTATTACAATTTCCTGCACTTCAATCAACCAAACAGATGATCTTTCCAACACATGAGCTTCTAATGGTCTTATCTGGCACCCTCTTCAGCCATCCGCCCTAGGGTCACGCCCCAGATGTTGTCCTAACATTAACTGCAAGTCTCCATCATCTCAATTTCAAGCTCCCCGTTCCCATCCAAAGAGCACGGGCCCAGGGACACGCAGCTGGCCCTTGGCGAGGGGGGAGTCACTGTAGCTCTGCCCCCCCTTTACCCTCATACCCACATGAACGTGCTGGGCACATCTGTACAAGTGTGCCTGAGAATTTGTGGGTGGAAGAGAGGTAATCCTATCTTCTCATTTGTGACTTTGCATCCCTTGCCTCCTTCTAAACTCACAATATTTACTTAGTAACCAATTCTCCAAGGAGCTGGCTTAAGCACCATGCAGGGAACAGCACAGGGAACAGTTTCCTTTCAGAAAAACTCTATTTGCCACGATGCAAATGAAGTGCTCGGTGCACCAGCTAGCGTGGCAGGTCTGACTCCTGGCTATGGGTTGAAGCATGGGCAGCTAACAGGGGCTTCCTACGTCCAAGAACCACCGAAGGTTGTGTGCACATTTTGTGTGCAAGTAAATATGACTGCCTTTCTGGGAAGGAGGTCCATAGCTATCATGAGATACCCAGAGGATGCATGACTTAACAGTCTTAAGAATCATAACTTAGTAAGATACAAAAACTTCTCTCTTTTTTTTTTATAGGTAGATTAGAAGATAACCAGTTTGGAACATCACCCTCCTTGAGGATTATCCTGGTGGGCAAAACAGGCTGCGGGAAAAGCGCCACAGGGAACAGCATCCTCTGCCAGCCAGTGTTTGAGTCCAAGCTGGCGGCCCAGCCGGTGACCAGGACGTGCCAGGCGGAGACAGGCACATGGAATGGGAGGAACATCCTGGTGGTCGACACACCCTCCATCTTTGAGGCCAAGGCCCAGGCCCAAGAGATGTACAAGGACATTGGGGACTGCTACCTGCTCTCTGCCCCGGGGCCCCACGTGCTGCTCTTGGTGACCCAGCTGGGGCGTTTCACGGCCCAGGACACGGTGGCCGTGAGGAGGGTGAAGGAGGTCTTTGGGGCAGGGGCCATGAGACACGTGGTCATCCTCTTCACCCACAAGGAGGACTTGGGCAGCGAGGCCTTGAGCGACTATGTAGCGCACGCGGACAACCGCGGGCTGCAGGGGCTGGTGCGGGAGTGCGGGAGGAGGTACTGCGCCTTCAACAACCGGGCCTGCGGCCAGGAGCAGGCGCGGCAGCTGGCGGAGCTCATGGCTGTGCTGGAGAGGCTGGAGAGGGAGTGTGAGGGCTCCTTCCACAGCAACGGCCTCTTCCTCGATGCCCAGATGCTGTGGCGAGGCAGGGACGGTGCCCGCCACGAAGACTACGAAGACTACGGGCAGTACCTGGCCAAGGTGAAACAGCAGGTGGAAAAGCAGAAGCGAGAGCTGAGGGAGGAGGAGAGGAGCTGGGCGTGCAAGGCGCTCCTCAGGGTCCAGCGCTGGATGGCTTCGCACATTTTAACATCCGCCTTCATTGCCATATGTGTCTTGATTTTTCTTGCCATTGTAATTGCCTTGTTTGTTGCTCATGGAAACTGAGTGTTTTCAGGGGATTGCTACTGTTTTTCTTTTCCAGGGTCAGCATCTCTGTCTATGTGTGTACGGCACTTTGCTTGCTTTCTGTATAATTTCTTTCTCAGTTTCTCTTCCTTATATCAGCGTGCCATCCACTTCCCTTTAGTGCTTTTAAGTAAATAAAATCCAGAGGGAAAAAATTTCTCTTTTGTTTTATTAAAAATTTTGGGGTAGATAATAAACCAGCTGGGTATTACCATGGAATATTTGCAGCTCACAGGAAGGAAGGTGCGTGAGCTGTTATGCTCTGAGACTGTCTTGCCCCTGGGCCCTACTTTCTACAGCTGAGATGTCAAGGGGAGAAACATGTTATTTGAAAAGCTGGTAGCAAAATGCCTTATTTTTATTTTTTATTTCTTTTTAGGGACAGGGACTCGCTCTGTGACCCAGGAGAGAGTGTAGTGGTGTCTTCGCAGCTCACTGCAGCCTTGCTCTCCTGTGCTCAAGCAATCCTCCCACCTCAGTCTCCTGAGTAGCTGGGACTACAGGTGCATATCACGCCAGGCTCATTTTTTAACTTTTTTGTAGAGACAGGGGTCTCACTATGTTGCCCAAGTTGGTCTCAACCTCCTGATCCCAAGCAATCCTCCTGCCTCGGCCTCCCAAAATGCTGACATTATAGGCATGAGCCACCAACCCCAGTCTGAATGCCTTATTTTAGTTATAAACATACCCTGATTTCATCATGGACTGTAGAAGGACACCCCATCACCACCCTCATCTCCTAGAGCAAAGATGATGAGTAGGGTCTACTGAACCAACTGGAGGTCCTGGAGGTGTGGAAGAGGTTGGGGGAGATGGGGCCTGGACATTAGGGGAAGGGGAGCAGGGTGGCGGTGGCAGTGGCAGGGTGGGGCTCGGCCTCCAGGAGCACAGCGTCGGCAGCTGGGAAATGCAGGAGCTGGGATGTGCTGGAGCAGGGATTGTAAAGGGTCAGATTGTGGACATCTTGGACTCAGCAGGGCGGTAGACTCTCAGCTACTTGACTCTGCCCTTTGTGAACAAAGTTCTCTGAAAAGGAATTTGGAGGGAAGAGACTTGATTCCAATGAACAATTTGCCAACCGGAGAGAGGCAGCCTCCAGCATGAAGGTGGGTTCCAAAGAACAAAGAGGGAGCTAGGGTTTTATAGCAAGAGTTCCCGCCCAGGTTCCCAATCAGGTCCGTTTGTGCAAATGAAGAATTGAAATTTACTTAGTTCTGATTGGTTGATGCAGCTGAGTTCTGATTGGTCTATACAGCTGAGCCCTGAGAGTCCCAGGGTTAAACAGCCATGTGGGTTACTTGGGAAACAGAGAATCTGTGTGACCTCTAGTCAGCATATGGCTGCGTGGCTCTATTTAAAATTTAGGCCCACTTAGCCACCAGGAGCCCATCTCGAAGGATTAGCTCTTTCAGGTTCACATTTGTTCACACCTTGTAGGCAAAAGCCACCATCAAGAAGATGTAGGTGACATGTGATGCTGCGTCCCCAAGGAACTTTATGAGCAGTAAGTTTTAAATTTCACATAATTTTCATGTGGGCAGATGAACGCTATTCTTCTGAGTCTTCAGCCCCTGAAAAATGTAAAAGCCCTTCTTAGCTCACAGCTGCACAAGGCCAGCAAAGGGCTAGATGTGGATCAGGTGCTGTCATCGGTTTCAGAGTAAATTTTGCACTGTTCCCTGTGCTACATTGTAAAGCAACATCTTTAACCGCAAACTCAATGCAGTCCCGTACAATCCCCTGTGATGTCTGCAGAAATCTGGGGAAAAGGTGGTATCCCACATTTTTTTATTTCTTTTATTTTATTTTTATTTTGGCATATTACGGGTGTACAGATGTTTAGGTTACATATATTGCCTTTGCCCCACCCAAGTCAGAGCTTTAAGCACGTCCATCCCCCAGACGGTGTGCACGCACCCATTAGGTGTGTATACCTATCCCCTCCTCCCCCTCCCATCTGCCTGACACCCGATGAATGTTATTACTATGTGAGCACTTAAGTGTTGATCAGTTATTACCAATTTGATGGTGAGTACATGTGGTGCTTGTTTTTCCATTCTTGGAATACTTCACTTAGTAAAATGGGCTCCAGCTCCATCCAGGATAATACAAGAGGTGCATTTTTTTTTTAAGAGACAGGCTGGAGTGCAGAGTGCAGTGGCCATTCACAGGCGCAATATCGCACACTACAGCCTCGAACTCCTGGGCTCAAGTGAGCCTCCCCCCTCAGCCTCCTGAGTAGCTGGGACCACAGGTGGGCACCACCGCACTCGGCTCTGGTGTTCCACATTTCAATGGTAGCAAAGAGAAGAAGGAAGACACTGGGGCGAAATATGAGTAGAGGTTGAGCTTCGGTGGAAATGGAATCAGATGAGTCCTTGGGATTCCTACCACACCTTCTCCTTGTGAGCAGCTGCCCGCTTTGCTCTCTGATCCCTCGTGCCCTGTGAGGGAGACCTGCAGTCGTCCTGGGCAGCCTGTGACTGGATGGGCAAGTGACTAAGTATAGGGTGAATCTTAGGAACTTGACTGTGATGCCTCTTAGTGTCATTCTCCAGCCCCACTGTTGGCAATAAAGCTCCATCATGGTCTCTGCGGCTCTGACTCCTGCGTCTAGCACAGAACTGACTCCAAATACGTGCAGGGAGTGTTAAATCTGATAGCACAATTCAGCTTCACAGACGTTTATTACACGAGTACTGCGTGTCCGGGTCGGTGCTTGGCTCCAGGAATGTAAAATAAAGAACACCAAGTTTCTGCTCCATAAGAGTCACTGTGGGCTGGGGAGCTGAAGGCATATAAAAATGGAGTTATAGGAGGAGGCTCCTTTTGGAAGTGATGTCAGCAAAAAGGAGACCACAGCAGGCTCTGCAGAGGCTTCCTAGCTGTGGTGATGATGCTTCAGCTCGCCGGGAACGTGCTCACCTCTCAGGGGCCACAGACAGAGAGTGAGAATCAGCACGTGGGAGGAGGGTGCAGGGAGAGACGTGGCTGGGCAGGGGCTAGGGTGACCTCCTAAATAGCAGGAAGTCGCTGGAGGCTATTGCGCAGGTTGGTGTACCTTGGGAATGTCAGGCGGCAGCAGCGTGGTGGTTGGATTATATAAGTATCATCCTGGAGACAGAGATAACATTTAGAGGGAAAGAATTCCAAAGCAACATCAGGACCTGCACTATAACAGCAATGGGGATGAAGAGGACAGATATGGGGAAACTGAGGAGGTGGGTCAGGCGTCATGGTCAACAACCGCAATACCCCTCAGGGAGGGGACCCGGTTCTGTCCTGGGTGACCCTCTGAAACATGGCCCCCTTCACTGCAGTGGCCCTTCAGAGAGAGAGTGGGCTGAGCAGGGAGAGGCAAAGGTTGGGTGTGGATGTGCTGACCTTGAAGCCTTCCGGGTGTTATGGGTTCAGTAGACGATGGCTGGGCTTAGCCTCCCTCCAGGGAAGGCATTCTGACCAGGCGAAAACCTGGCCCCAAGCAAGTGTTAGGAGCTGCGCTGCAGGAGCAGGGCCTCCCTCCAGGCTAGGGCTGGTTCATTCCCAGTCTGCTAATGGGGGTCACTTTCACCATGAGCAGAGTTCCTGGTACCCAGCTGGCATTCCCGACATTGACCTCCAGGGGGACAGAGCTGGAGAGTTGCCCCGAGGATATGCATGACTGTTTGCCAAAGTGATTCCCTGGCGAGTGTTCAAATGTGAGCTCTGTTTCTCTCAGGCTTCCTGCCAAATGGTGCAGGAAGCATCGAGAAAGCCCTGCCTAGAGACGAGCGCATTTCCTCTGCCCTCTCCCACTCCCATTTGTCAAAATAATCCAACTAAAAGTGTTTCGCCTTAATCAGAGTCGAGCAAATGTCTACTGTGTAGCAAGCACTTTAGTAGGAGAGGGAGAGCTTCCTAATTCCAGGAACAAGAAAAGACAAACCTATTCGTTTATCCTGGGCGCCATTTCCTCAAAGGAAGCATGAGCACAGGGAAGTTCTGATAGATTTACAGGATAAGAAAGGAATAGTCCAGATGTTTTCAAATGCATGTAAGAAATCTGAAACTCAAATAGCTTAAACAATTAGGAAATTTCTTGGCTACCATGACTGGAAATGCAGAGAAAGGGTGGGCTTCAGGGCTGGGGGATTCCAGGCCCCCGCTTGTTCCATCTCTCTGTTCCACTTTAAGTACTGCCTTCAGCCTCAGGTTGGGGCACGATCACTGCTGACATTCCAAGTGTCACGCTCAGACCCAACAGTGCTCAGCAGAAGAACAGAGACTGTCTCTTTCTTGGGTCTCTCCCAGGAAAGGAGACACCTCCACAGACTTTACCTCTTCTCACTGGGCTGCACGGGTCAGGCCCGGCCTGAACCCGTCATAGGCAAAGAGAACAGGTCAGGCTCCCTGGAGCTGAGGCACACGGCTCATGTGGGAGGGCTGGGCCCTGAACCCAGCCAGACTCTGTCGGGAAGAAGCTGCACAGAAAACAAGCAGTGTCCTCTGCAGACCCTGAGAGTCCGTTTCTGAACTGATAGTGCTTAGAACAATGAATCCGGGAGGTGATATTTTAGAAATGCTCGAAAACACAAAGAATTAAAGATGGTAAAAGATGATTAGGAAAATAAGAAGCAAAAGTAAGCTGCACCAAACAATAACAACACAGATCTCATAACGCGAAGCCATCCAGCGCTGGACCCTGAGGAGCGCCTTGCATGCCCAGCTCCTCTCCTCCTCCCTCAGCTCTCGCTTCTGCTTTTCCACCTGCTGTTTCACCTTGGCCAGGTACTGCCCGTAGTCTTCGTAGTCTTCGTGGCCGGCACCGTCCCTGCCTCGCCGCAGCATCTGGGCATCGAGGAAGAGGCCATTGCTGTGGAAGGAGCCCTCGCACTCCCTCTCCAGCCTCTCCAGCACAGCCATGAGCTCCGCCAGCTGCCGCGCCTGCTCCTGGCCGCCGGCCCGGTTGTTGAAGGCGCAGTACCTCCTCCCGCACTCCCGCACCAGCCCCTGCAGCCCGCGGTTGTCCGCGTGCACTACATAGTCGCTCAAGGCCTCGCTGCCCAAGTCCTCCTTGTGGGTGAAGAGGATGACCACGTGTCTCATGGCCCCTGCCCCAAAGACCTCCTTCACCCTCCTCACGGCCACCGTGTCCTGGGCCGTGAAACGCCCCAGCTGGGTCACCAGGAGCAGCACGTGGGGCCCCGGGGCAGAGAGCAGGTAGCAGTCCCCGATGTCCTTGTACATCTCTTGGGCCTGGGCCTTGGCCTCAAAGATGGAGGGTGTGTCGACCACCAGGATGTTCCTCCCGTTCCATGTGCCTGTCTCCGCCTGGCACGTCCTGGTCACCGGCTGGGCCGCCAGCTTGGACTCAAACGCTGGCTGGCAGAGGATGCTGTTCCCTGTGGCGCTTTTCCCGCAGCCTGTTTTGCCCACCAGGATAATCCTCAACAGTGATGATCCTGGAGTTAGGCCACCTTCTCCCCGGCCTGTTGGAGCGCATGCAAAGTTGATGTGCAATAAGTGCTTTTTGAAGAGGAGGAGAACAAAAGACAGAAAGGAAAAAACCCAGAACTGGCATCCTGAATCAAAGGGGACACTACACCCTCTGTTCCCATCGCCTGATCCTGTATCCAGAGAATAAGGGGAACTCGCACGGGCTTTGTGGAATAAATCACTCCAGCTGGCCAAAGTCCTAGGGACCTTTCCTTTTAGGACTGCTGAATTTGCCCCTTGCGGCCCCAACGCCCACGCACTGCCGCCACCGCTCAGTGGTTCCTCTGGCCATTGAGTTGTTTGTTTCACACTTCCCACATTTCCCATCACGACCTGGTCTCTGTTTTCACAATGACAGAGTTCTGTGTAGAAAAACTTGCCCTCACTAAGGAGAGTATGATAGCTAATAGCTTAATATGTGCTATTTACTGGGGGGGAATGCATTTTCTTTGTCCTGCGGTGAATATAGTCTGGTGCCTCTCCCTGCCAGGTGGGAAGTTCTCCCCCAGGGCTGAGTCTGCGGGCCGTTGGCTGCGCTGAGGAGTCCTCCTAGTGCAGCTTCCTTACCTTTGGGAAAGGGTCCTGCTCCAGCCTTCCGAAGCCCTTCCATTTTGTTCTCTGGGGGAAAACATACAGGGTGTTCACACTGGAGGTGGGTGTAATATTCAACACAAAACACCACATTTACAACATTTTATAGATGAGGAAATTGAAGCAAGGAAACAAACCCTGCTCCAGGTCTGCTGACCCCCATACATCCCCAGCAGTGGTCTGAGCTTCCTGCTGGAGAATATGCAGACAGCCCCAAAACGTGAGCCATGCACGTGTTTCCCACGACCTACTAGCTGGTGGGAGGCCGTCGAAATGTGCTGTCTGCCCCGAAGACCAGGACTGCCAGCCAGCCATTCCCTACTGATCATCTGGCTGTCTGGGGCTCTTGTCTGCCCTTAGGGTCCTAGGGCTGGTGTGCAAACTAAAGTTTGTCTGGCAAAGTATCCCCTTCAGTGAACTCACAAAAGAAATTCTTCCCTAAGTTTCCAGGTGATGGTGGTACAAAGGGTGACCAACGACCCTGGTTATCCAAGGACTGAGAGGATCCCTTGATCAAAGGACTTTCAGTGCTGGTCCTGGGGCAGTCCCAGGCAAACCAGGATGAGTTGTCCACCCCAAGAGTAGGGATTGTCATGAGTCCAGGTAGGGGGCAGGAGGGTAGGGTACATAAGTGGAGGGAAGAACTGATGTGTTGGGCTTAGATCCATGTGTTAATGGTGCAGAAGATGGTCAGTGCTTCCATGTTCTTAGCTCAAACAGCCTTGGGCCAGTAGCTACCTCAGGGGCATCTCTCATCAAGCCCCCTCACCTTCTTTCACTGTCCCCCACATACCTTTCTCTTAATCCTTTTTTCCCCTCCTACCTCCTACTTCCCATGCTCAGGTAGGGAGTCTGCCCAGGCCTCACAGAGAAATGACTTCTCAGGCTTTGCCACTGGGAAACCTACGTGACACTTTCCAAAGCTACATAAGGACCTTGCTGTATGCGAAGTTTCTGGGTGTTTCCTTGTTATGGGTTCAAGGAGCTAACACTGAAGATGACTCTCTAATTATGGGATCTCAGGGTCGATGACAGGTCAATTGAAAAAAATACTTTTGGGAATAAATGGATTTTCCAAATGCTCCTTCGGGTCATGCTATATAAGATGCTGTCTTGCCCCCTCACAGTAAAATTGGCCAGTGACAATAAACAAATAAATAACGAACTTTGGGATCATTTTAATGTAAGCACTAAATGTCAAAACCCAGCTTCTATCAGGCAGTTCCCGGGTAATTTCTTTGGAACTCGCTCTGAGGGTAGCAACTTACTGCCTCATGGAATCTCTCTATTGTTCAGCCAGGTCTGTGGAATCTAGTCTAATCTGGTTTGCAAAGTTGGTCCCAGAATATGCACAATTCAAATAAGAGTTATGCAAGCTGAGGAGCCACAGTACTGACTCTATGACTCAGGTCCTGCTTTTACATCCACTCAAGGGCTGGTTTTAGATGGAAACCAGTCCCTGGGCATTTTTTCTCATCCTGCCATCCACGAGGGGGCCTTTCAAACTGAGGGTGATGGCCAGTCTCATGTGTCACTTGGCTAGGCCGTGGTACCCAGTAATCTAACTGAACACTAGCCTAGGTGTTGCCCTGAGGGTGTTTTGTAGATGTGGCTGTCATTAAGTAAGGCTTACCCTCCACACAGCGAGGGTCATCATCCAGTCTGCTGAAGGTCTAGAGGGCAAAACTGAGTTTTCCGGAGAAGACGAAATGCTGCCTCAAGACTACAGTGTCAGCTGCTGCCTGAGCTCCAGCCCGCGGGCCTGCCCTGCAGATTCTGGGCTTGGCAGCCCCCACAATCATATGAGCCATTTCCTCGAAATAAATCTCTTAATAGATACACCCTAGTGTTTCTGTTTCTCTGGAGAAACCTGGCCAATAATCAAAGCTGAAACTCAGAGAAGGAGCAAACCTGAACATAATTCTCATCTTTGCCTGGTTTCCTTTGAGGATGAGTGCGGGCAGGATTGTTTTTTATAGATGCGATTGCATGGGGGCAGTCACATGGGGAAACCGGTATTTTTTAAAGATATCACCTTGTTTGCGGTGCTGGTGATTTTGACTTCGAGTCACTGTTTCCCCGCGTTGCCCCTGCAGGGTTCTGAGCGGCGGTCCCCAGAGAGGGCCGACGGGCAGGGGCTCCTGGGCATCAGAGGGACAGCGAAGGTGCCAGGTGAGTGACTGGAGAGGTGTGGGTCAGGGGCAGAGAGGGCGACGCTGGAAGGGCTGCAGGAAGGGGCGGGGGTGTGGAGCTGATATTCCTACACTCGGAGAGAGGGAAGGGACCTGGGGGGTCTTATACCACCCACTCCTCTCCACTAGGAGGAAACTTAGACTTCCGGGGTTACGTACTACAAAAGTGACACGCAACCAGGTCTGCGCCCGAGACGGGGGTGACAGCTGTCAGGGCGATGCCCCCCGCCCGGCACGTGCCGCCACCAGGCCACGCGCCTCCCAAGCGACCCGAGCAGGCCCCTCCCTCTGAGAACCAGAACCTTACGCTGCTCTCTCAGAATCCAGCCTGCGCAGAAAGAGAAGTGACAAGTGGGCTTCTGCCTAGAAACATCGAGGTGGTTCTCATTTTCCTCAATTACTAGTATCTTTTTGAGGATTTTTTCTGCTCCAGTTGCAGGGCTGCCTCTCTAGCCCCAACCGCCACACCTCCCGCCGGAGGCTGTCCCGGTTTTCTGGGGGCCCCCCGCCCCGCCTCGGTCCCACAGGTCACCGCCCCCCCTCGGTCCCGCAGGTCACCCCGCCCAGGGCGCCCTCCGCTTGCTCGGTGCCGCCTCCAGAGCCGGTTCGTGCGGCCATCAGCCCACCGCTCTCACTGTAGATCCGTGGATCCATCAATTCACTTGAAATGTTATTAAATACCTGTATTTACCAGGCGTTTCTCCCCCTTGGAGGATGGTTGGACCAGTTTAAAGACCATCTCCTGCTCCAGACTGGGAAAGCAGCACCTGTGTGCTAACGAGAGCGAAGAACGCTTTGTCCGCCCTCCCGGGACGCCGCCCCCGCCCCCGTCGCCACCTGGCCGCGGACGCTCCTATGCAGGACCGGAGAGGACGGCGGGGCAGGGGGGACGGCAGGGCGGGAGAGGACGGTGGGGGGAGGACGATGCAACGGGAGAGGACCATGCAGGGCGGGAGAGGTGGGGCCCTCCCTTGGACAAACTGTGAAAGGCTCAGAACCCCTTGGCTGACCTTGTGCAGACTGTCTTACTCCAATTTGCCAAAAGTAATACTGATGTTCTCCTGCGTCCCTCACGAGTGTCCAGATGACAGTGGCATGCTGATTAAGAAAACATCGTGTGCAGTGTGAGAATCTGCCACTGTTAAAGGGTTCCGAGTCAGGGTCATTTCTTGGTACTAATACCCTGGGCGTTTATAACTACATTCTGGCTAACTAGGAGGTTTTAACTAATTCTTTTTTTAAAATTGTATTTCTTTATCAGAAAAAAAAAGCAAACGTTTTATGTGAGTACATCAACTTGAGTCCTATTCCTGAAATTTTTCTACCCTCTTTAAAATGGAAACCTTTGCCATCCAGTTGAGTGTGTAGTAAACAACAAACAGCAACGGGAATGAAAAAAGATGGAAATCCAAAGGTGAATTTTCAGCCTGTTCTTCAAAGGGCATCCCAGGACTTCTGGGGGTGGGCAGGGGACAGGGGGAGGAGGTTCAGGTGATCTTCCCTTGCCCTACAGTGTGTGAGGAATCCCATCTGTGCACCCAGATACAGCAGCCACTGTGTGCATATATGAAAACACTTTTGCACAAACACAAGAAATAAGCTCATTATATCATCAAAGGGATACTGTCTGAGCTCATTCTGTTCAAAATTTTAGGTTCTGAAAAATGTACTATCAGTAATACTTTCAGTTTGCACTTATTTGGGTTTTTAGGGTATATAACTCTTGGTCATAACTTAGGAATAAAGAAACTGAGGTTTAGAAAGGTCATAGTGCCTTCTCTAGGTTGGCACAAATTGTTTCTGGGAGGAATGAGGAGGGAGAGAGAGAGAGGAAGGGGGAGAGAAGGAGAGAGAGAAGGCAAGGGAAGGGAAGAGGAGCGGAGGGGAGGGGAGAGGAGGAGAGGAAAGGGAAGGGAAGAGGGAAGGGAGAGGAGAGAGAATGAAAGAAAACAAAACAAGCCCTGTTACCTGGTAGATCCTAGAATATCTTGCCAGGTCTCCAGATGGTCTTGGAGCAATGCTCCCTCCTCTCCTAGGCAGCCTCTCTCATTGGTTTCTAGTCTTTTCATAAAAACACAAGAGCAGAGAGAGATGAAAAAACTGTCCACAATTTTGTCTGCCAGGTAGAGACCATGTCCCCTGGGGACAGGAAAAAAACAATGTGTGTGGGTTTCCTCGCAAAGCCCTCCTCAGAAAGTGACCCAGAAGCCCTCAGAAACAGCCAAAGGAAGAGGGTTTTTTTTAAAAAATAACGGCTCTATTTCCTTTTCCCCACCACATCTCTGCGATGCTTTTGTGCAAAACAAATTCTCTACCAGAATAAGCAGAACAGTAACCCAAAGAAACCAGTAAACATCTGCAGCCTGGCTGCATCCCAATCCAAGCCACCAGCTGGCTGTCACTGGCCCAAATGGGACCAACACGCATTTCCCCACCCCTGCCATTTACCTTTCCCCTATAACGGTAGTTTCTTACGTGGAATTCTAGAAGGCAGTGAGGGCTGAACCCAAGGGGGCTCTCCAGGTTCCAGTGCACAAGGAGCAGGCATTGAGACATTCTGTGCTCCCTCTCATTTCTCTGCCAAATGCCCTGCCCTCAGGTTACCCACCTCTGAGTGGGAAAACAAGGCTTAGTAGGTTTCCCCACCCAGCAGGACTTCATTGTCACAGGAACCAGGGAGACATCTGACCCACCCGTGGTGAGATTTATGAGAAGTGACAAATGCTTACTTAACAGGGGGCTTGGGAGAGGAGGAGGGGGTGTCCTGGGCCTCTCACGCTGCCCTGGCTAACACCACCCCCACATCCTGGCCCCCCGAAGCCTCTGTGTTGGGAGTGGTGGAGCCTAGAGCTCCTCTCTGGAGACTCTCAGGTGAATGGGGCGGAGCTTGATCAGTTACTTGCATATTTGAGTTCAGATTAATTTTTTAAAAGATACTATAAACAGAAAAGTGAGATGCAGGTAACTCATGGTTC